GGGTCACAGTGATTAACATGTTACTGTGCTGCTAGACTCAATGGTGTATTGTTTGGTACCTGACTGTCATTCCTTGCCTAGTAGAGGCAGGGTGCGACAATAGTATCATTCAAAAAGGTTGAATAAGGTTAGATAGCATCATCTTACCCCTCTCCTAATATAGTTTATTTAAATTTAATTAGATAAATTATCCAACATCTACTTTACTTAAACTTTATCTAATTTTCTTTATTCTAACCTACTGCCCACGATAAAAATACATAAATTATCATTGCATACCCTTGTTCGGACTACGAAGGTGGCCTAATAAAATTCCCTTTTCCACCAAGAATAAACACACTCACCAATCTTACAACTTATCTAGTTTGACAGCAAAGCAGTTCCAACTGATTTATTATTAATTTTATAAACAGAACATTAGACCACTCGAATTCTATTATGAAAAATTAATTTTTTTTCTTATTGGAATTCAATGAAAGAAGTTAACTTTCATAATTACTTTTAAAAAAAGAAAATTCCAGAACTCTGAAATTTATCATCTCAATCAATGTAGTTTTTGGATTCCACATCTAGCGTTAAAGCTGTTTTTCTCGTTTCAAAATTCTAAAAATAATAAAAAATAAAAACGACAATTACATTAGTTTTTAAGTATCAAGTATTTTGCCTAAAGTTTGGACTTGCTCACGGATGGAAATTTCTTCAATATATTTTCTAATCATTGTAAATTTATATTGTTAGGGGGTGGTTTCAAAAAATAGTTAAAGAAAAAAAGTGGCCATGTTAATTTTTTAACACACAGAGAATTACCAAAACTTTGCCTCAAGTCATAATACAAGGATTAGAGGATCTTTGATATTTAAGGATTTTCGTTTTGGAGAGTAAAAAAAAAAATTCAGAAAAATTTTCGTATTTATAAAAAAAAAAATAAAGATTTAGATTTTTTTTATCAACTAAAAAAAGAAACCGAGAAAGTTTATGAATATTAATGATGATTATTTGCACGCTTATGTAAAGTCTAAACTTGATGGGATGCCAGAGCAGTCGAAGTTCTGAATTAAACAAAGTAGCTAGCACCAGCTAATCATATAAATTAGAGCTGACAAGATAATTATTGATTGGCCACCTAACGCCTCTCTTACTCAAATTCCAAAATCACACACTATCATCACTTAATTACCTGCCTTTTCCTGCCCAAGTCCCTGTAAGCCACGACATCATATTGGTGGTCTATCCATTGCTTGAAGGTTGAACATATATAATCCATCTAATGAAAAAGGTAAATCATGGGAGGTTATGACGTGGATAGGGTAAAAATAAATGAGATCGTGTTTGGATGACGATATAAGAATTATTGATTTTAATAATTTATTAAATATAAATTATTGATCTAAAAAATTTAAACGTAAGTTATTTAATAATAATTTTTTAATTTCTTATATGTTATATTATATTACTTTTAAAAATTGATGTAGAATAAGATATCACAATCTCTCTCATTTAAATACTTGACATTCTTGTTAAGTTATAAATCTATATTCGTATCCAAATAAAAATATCTAAAAATAGTTTTACTCTAATGTTATTTGTAATAACTTGAAAATTACTGATCTTAACAATTTGTTGAATTTGAACCATTGGCCAAAAAAGTTTAAAATTGTTTAGTAATAATCTCTAATATTTTATATATTATATCATATTACTCTCAAAAATTAATGTGGAATACAATATCATAGTCTCTGAGTCATCTTTGATCTATTTTGTTTTAGTATAATTTGGTTCAACTCATTTATTTAATTAAATCAAATTTAAATTAAAGATAGATTTGACCTGATCATATTTGATATGATTCGTAAGTCTAATAGAGCAATTTATACAATCAATTATATATAAAACACATATTTTTAAATATCATTTACATAATATAAATAATATATTATAATATAATGTATAATACATATTTTTATAATTTAAATATATTTGAGCCAATAGATTAATAAGTAAAGTCAGACTTTACAAGTTAGGCTAAGGATACTATTTTAACCTGTTATAAACCATAAGTCAGGCTCACCACTTTATGCAACTATTTTATAAATTATATATTTGAAATTAAACCCACTATTTCATTTTCAATCACAGCGGAAAAACCCAAAAACATTATAAAACAAAAATGCCCCTTTAATCTTTTCAATTATCCAGAAATTAATTTTGTAACCATACTCATCAACTGTGTATAGGTCTTGCTCATGTATCATTAGAAGCATCTTTTATATGTTTAAGGTTAGTGTTTGATATCTAAATGAGTTGCACATTTTTTTATTAAAATAATTTAATTTTAAATTTAAAAAATTATTTTATGAAATAACCAACTCCTCGGGCGGAAAATCTCTAAAATGTAATTATTAATATAAAAAAGCCAATCAAATAATTTAAAATATTACCAAAATGATGAGCTTGTGAATGAAGCTGCGTTAGTGCCTCGTGTTTTGATGGCACAATCACGTGCACACATCTTGCACTTTATTATACTAGAAGATATCATAACTTGAACTCTAAGGCTTCCTTTCAAAAAGTTGCACGGTAGAATGCAATTGCAAGATTGCATTTATTTGACATTTTTCTGCTTATTGTTAAATTTATATTTATTTTAATATTCAAAGTGTGATAAAATATTAAAAATTACATAAAAAATACCCAATTTGTTCAAAATTCAATTAGGATATGATAATATGACACTAATATAATTTAATTTTATTAAAAATACTATTAGAAGATAACATTTTTGTTTAATGCGAATTCAATACAATTATTTTTATTTTCACTTAAAGGGGTGTTCGGTTCAACAGATTACACGTAAGAAGATAAATTTATCAAACTGTTACACGTGTTCAAATAGCGTATAACGGAACAAGATGCAGATACGTATCTGTGCTAAACAGATACTGTATCACGCAGTTCTGGATAAACTTCACTTTTGACAGCAATGCCTTGTGATCGAGGAGGACAGCGAGACACAGAAGGACGTCAAGCTCCACTCGTGGCCGACGACGAAGACGAAGATGAAGAATCCAGACGCAGAAGACGAAGCCGCCACCGTTGATGACGCAGAGGGAGGACAACAACCCATTTGCGTTTGTATTTTTTTTTCAATCCGATTGGAACTTCTACATCTGCATTTGTTTTTTTTTTTTTTAAATCCGATCGGGACACCTGTGATCCAACCCGGCTGGAAAGATGACGACGCCACTACCGCCGACGATGCAGAGCCCAGACGACGATGCAGAGCCTAGACGTAGAGCCCGGACGACGAACTCATCTCCCTCTATCGTTCAATCCGATCGGAAGCAGTCCAAAAGTAGGATTGTTTTTTTTTTTTTTTTTTATAAACCGACCTGGGTTTATTTTTTTTTAACCCTAAATCTGGGTTTGTTTTTTTTCAAACTCGAATTTATTTTTTTTTATACTCATAAAAGGGTATTTTAATAAATTTTCATTTTTATCTTACAATTAAAAAATTTTTATCTTATTTATTATCTGTTGAATCAGATAAATAATAAAATTTACCTCTCTTATAAGCTTATCTAATTATATTCTTATTATCCTGAATTCTATCCCCCCTTAAGAATATTAATGATTTTAATAAAATTAGCTGGGAAGGAAGCGTGTTTTGAAGAGGGCCAGCAGCCGCGGTTGCCGCGAGTGAGATCCGTCGCATAGGCAAAAGGGTAAGATTGTGATTATGAAGAGACTCAAGAGCAAATACGACCGAAAGCATAAAACAGAAAAGGAACCGTTAACCTTGGAAAATAATCAGCGCATAATTTAAGTCCACCAAACAGGTAGCAGAACTGTCGGAAAATAGCAACGGGCAACAGCAGGTAACTTATGGAAGGACAGTCTATTACTCAGATCACGCGACCCGTCGGCGTAACGTGACCGACAGCCCGAATATATGACGTGGCTAGCTTTTATTGGTCGGAAGAGAAGCAAGCGATCAACTGGTGTGGCTGTGGCCTAGCAAGTTAGCTTATGAGATAGCCGTGCACGTGGTACGTTGGTTTCATGATTTTCTTTCAAAATTATTTTTTGAGTGTTTGGAATATTAAAAAAATTAAATATATATTTTATTTTTAAAAATATATTTTTAGATTATAAAAAAATTATATTTGATATAAATATAAAAATTCCTTTAATTGAAAAAATATCAAAATTGAGTTCTATTTAAGAAAAAATAGTGTAATTGGTAATTAAAATAATTAAATATCAAGCATTTAGATTGAACGTGAAATGGATTGAGTTGGGTTGCCTCCATTAGGTACTAATTTGTGCTTAGGTCATCAGAATTTTTGAGTTTTAACTTTTTAATTATCTAAGAAAAAAATAAAATTTTAAATAAAAAAGCTAGTGAATTTAAATTCTAAAAATGGTGGACTTTTTTGAATTTTTTTTTTTGTCAAAAATATACTCATGGTTTCGTTGTACCCATATTAATGTTTTGTTAAGTGTATAAGCATTTTTATTTATAAATTATTAATTAATATTTTGCCCACACTATATGTAAAAAAAAAGAAGCTATTAACATATTAATATTAACATAACTAATGGCTATGCATGCCTTGCACAAGCCGAAGTGGGCATGTTCCCGGTTACCTGTTTAGCCGGTGAAATATATTGGGATATATTAGGTAATAAAAATCGAATTAAATATTTCCCATAAAATGATGAAAAGGACAAAGCAATACATCAAGTTATCTACTGGAGGGAGCTTGTAGACCAGGGGGAGAGAGAGAGAGAGAGAGAGAGAGGGAGGAGATTGGCGACTGATTGCGGCGAGGAATCAGAGAATGCCGTGTTCACAATTAGCTCAAGTTCCAAAAGGTTTTGAGCTGAATCGATTTGGGTTTCCCTTCTGATTTTTGAGATCTGCCGCGAAAGTTACAGTGCAACTGGAAGAGAGTTTGTAGATTTCACTCCTCTTGTTTTACTTCCTTTGTTGGGATAAAATGGAGGCAAATGCCGGAATGGTAGCTGGGTCATACAAGAGGAACGAGTTGGTTCGGATCCGCCACGATTCAGATAGTGGGGTTTGTATTTTCGTTGTTCCCATATGTGCCTTCGGTCTAATAGTGAATTTTGTCGAATTTTTCATCTGTGAAACTGTGTTTAGATATGAATATCGTTTTGCATTATCACAAATTTTTAGCTCAATATGATTCTTTTCCTGAAATGAGGGCAGGATTGTTCGTTGATTCTAATTTGAGCCTTTGAGGTTCTGTTGACTCATATTTTCTCTGCATAAAATTTTGTCTCGTGATTCAAGTGTTGCTTGGACTAGAGGGAGTATTTGGGCTGATAATTTTGATGTATTTGATGGAAATGGATACTGCTTTATCTAAAATTTGACTCTTTTTCGTTAATTTTCACAGTTCGCTCGTGTTAGATTTGAATGTTGATTATCGTTCTTCTGGCCATATCTCTCTTATTTTTATGTTGTTTCTTTCTTTATTTATTATTTGTTGGATTCGAAAAAGTTGGATGTTTCAGATTAGGAAATTGGACATAGGAATTCAGATTTCTATTTGTTGGAAATTTCATATCGTCGAAAATTTTTATTTTGTCTATTTATTTATTTTTTGTTGGTGTCGTCAAGTTGAATTGTTACAGGCCAAAGGCGAGGATTTGATGATCGAGTTAATTGAAAATTGCCTTCTTCACTATTTTGTTTGGCTGATCTCTGTTAAGGACTGATTCTAAGATCATGATTGCACAATTTATGCAGATTTAACTCTATTTCAGAGTTCTATATGAGACATAATTCTTCTATATAAGCTTGTACCTTCGGCCTTTGTACTGCAGATTTTAGTTGGAAGTGTTCCTTTTTCTTTGTCTATGCGCATGCTTTAGCTGGGATGTCTTCTTTCCTCGACTGTCATTGTGTATTTTGACTTTACCATCATTTTGTTTTAGGGAATCCTGTTACTTCTTGTAGTCTATTGAGCCCAGATATTCTTATAATAGTGCCACATTCTTGGACACATGTTTAGTAATGTCCTATCCTTTTTTTATTTATATTTTTTGACACATTGAAGACACGTGTTTCCAAAACTTACACACTTTTAGTGCACAATATGGACCAAGTATAATTCAGTGAACTTTTTAAGGAGACCTAATCATAGTATGACGATTCTATAAAATTTTTTGACATTGCCAAATTATTGTTTATCATTTGATAGGATGTCATTTTCTTTTGCCTGTTGAGTGTCAAGATATTTGGTCTATCTGCTATAGCATTGTTCAGTGAGAATTTGTTAATAACTGATATAGTGCATCTTGACAAAAACTTCTTAAGGATGAAGTTTGAGATAAGTGGTCATGCCAATAGGATGGAGCTTTTTTGTTTGTTTGCTTATTGTCATTTTCTTTTTTCTTTTTGTCCTTTTAAATATTTTTTATATCTATTTTTGCTAATTCCACCCTTCTTCTAATCATTGTTTTCTGTTGGCAATACAGTCCAAGCCCCTCAAGCAATTGAATGGTCAAATATGCCAGATATGTGGAGATACTGTTGGCCTTACTTCCAATGGTGATGTTTTTGTTGCTTGCCATGAGTGTGCCTTCCCAGTTTGTAGGCCTTGTTATGAGTATGAGCGAAAAGATGGAAATCAGTGTTGCCCTCAGTGCAAGACTAGATATAAGAGACAGAAAGGCAAGCTTGAGTCTCTAAATCATCTCCAGATTGTGTTGTTTATTTAAATCACAGTTTTGGAAACAGGATTACAATTTGTGCATTTTGCAGGGAGTCCTCGAGTTGAGGGAGATGAAGAAGAGGATGGTGTTGATGACCTGGAAAATGAATTTAATTATGCCCAAGGAAACAGCAAAGTGAGGCACCGGTGGCATAGCGAAGATGTCGAGCTCTCTTCATCTTCTCGTCATGAATCTCAACCGATTCCCCTTCTGACTCATGGGCAGCAGGTAATTATTCACACAATAACTGTCAAATTAGGACTCTTGGCTCAGGCTTTCTATTAGTTAAGTTCTAGATATTTCCCACATCTTTTTCAGATGCCTATTATTCTGAAGCCTGGTGCAGCTGCTGAGTTTCTTCCCAGCTTATGGAAAAATTGAGCATCTGAGCTTACTGTTTAGTCAAGACTACAATGCCTAGAAGTTTTCTTAAAGTGGTGTTTTGCATGTTCCTTCCTTGCACATGATTGCTAGTCTGCAACCATTCTCATTAGCTAAAAGACTTATGGGTTAGACAGTTTGTTCTCTTATTAATCCATAATATGCCAAATGATAACAAGTATGCCTTTAAGTGCCTAAAGGTTTTGATCTTGTTTGTTATTTAACCACTTTTGAGGAGGTTGGAATGAGTAACAGCAATAGTGAACATAAATCAATTACTATTTTAACTTTGTAATTTCATGGTTAATCTTTTATATTTGTATTTGTACAAATATTGGATCAAATATAACCAATAAGAGGTGGAGGACAAACAGCAATGCCTATTGTGTGAGGCTCAAACCTCAACCTTCCAAGTTGCAGGTGAGGTGATGGTCACCAGGCAAAACCCTTGCTCAAATGGTTGTTATAATTTAGTTCCATTGCTATAATGACTCTCATTGCTACTCGTTAGATGTTTTTTCTTCTTTATGTTTTTACATTTCCTCAATTTCCCCAATAGGTATTGGTTATATTAGGAAGTGATTCTCTTTGAACTTTGGTGCATCTCTTTTTATTTATTTTTCGTGCTTTAATTTTTCATGTTTGCAATTGCTCTGGGCTGTATTATGCTTGTAGAAATTTGGATTATTGATATTACACTTTCTCAGGTATCTGGTGAAATTCCTAGTGGGACACCTGACACCCAGTCTGTACGAACTACATCTGGTCCCTTGGGCCCTGGTGACAGGTCACTTCCATATATTGATCCTAGGCAACCAGGTAACCCTTATATTGTGAAATACTTACACAATGATCTCTGTAGTATTTGTTGCCTTCACCCAGTCACCTAACCCAACATCACTTCAGTTCCAGTGCGAACTGTGGACCCTTCAAAGGATTTGCATTCTTATGGCCTTGGAAATGTTGACTGGAAGGAAAGAGTTGAAGGTTGGAAACTCAAACAAGAAAAAAATATGACACATATGGGCAACAGCAGATATACTGAAGGGAAGGGGGTTGATATTGAGGGCACGGGGTCAAATGGAGAAGAACTGCAAATGTGAGCACCTTTAGAAATATATTGTCTTTATATTGTGACTGTGCTTAACTGTTAAAAAAATTGCAAAAGAGTGGATGAATATTTGACATCTTGGAAAACTGACTATTTATTCTTGTTGTGCTTACATCAATAAAAGAACGCTTCCTTTGGATTTTTTTTCTTTTTTAAATTATGGTTGATAGTGGGAACTATGTAATATTTTAATCTTTAGTTTCAATGTTTCTGATGCCTCATCTAATTCTTGCAAGTCCGTCTATAGTTGCATAAATGTTCAAGTCATTTTTCCATTTCCTTACCTTGCTTTACAATAGCTAAGTTGGGAAGAGATAACTGTCCAATCAATTGCTAATACAATGACAATGAAATTCCCAGTCTAGTAATAACGTAATGTTATCCTTTTTATAGACATCTATACAGATGATTAATAGCTTCCTCTTGTAATAGGGTTGATGATGCCCGGCAACCTTTGAGCCGTGTTGTGCCTATATCTTCTTCTCACCTTACCCCTTATCGTGTGGTTATCATACTTCGGCTAATTATCTTGGGCTTCTTCTTGCAATACCGTTGCACTCATCCAGTGAAGGATGCTTATCCATTATGGCTGACTTCGGTCATCTGTGAGGTTTGGTTTGCATTGTCCTGGCTTCTGGATCAGTTTCCTAAATGGTCACCCATCAATCGTGAGACCTTCTTGGAAAGGCTTGCTTTGAGGTAAGTTGGACTCATGTTGCTTATATTTTTTAATATATCATCCTTAAGGGATGTTGATGCAACAACATGCATTTTGCTTTCTCTCAGATATGATAGGGAAGGGGAGCCTTCACAGTTAGTGCCTATTGATGTGTTTGTCAGTACAGTGGACCCACTGAAAGAGCCTCCTCTTGTCACAGCTAATACTGTGTTGTCCATCCTTGCCGTGGATTACCCTGTTGACAAAGTGTCTTGTTATGTTTCGGATGATGGATCAGCAATGTTAACCTTTGAAGCTCTCTCAGAGACAGCAGAGTTTGCTAGGAAATGGGTGCCCTTCTGCAAGAAGCACAGTATTGAGCCCAGGGCCCCTGAATTCTATTTTGCTCAGAAAATAGATTACTTAAAGGACAAGATACAGCCTTCTTTTGTGAAAGAGCGAAGGGCAATGAAGGTGAGTGATGATGATGCAGTAACTTCTGCTACTTACAATTATATATTTTCCTAGATATTGTTATCTATCCATTATGGCTGAGCAAGTTTTCCCAGTCCTTGAATGTATGATGGCAACTCTTAATTAATGATGGATAAAATCATTCAGAAAACATACAGTTGGTGGTCAGGGGTACCACTAATTTATGTGTTTGAGGTTTCTTTTTAAGTTGATTAATTCTTGTTTCCAAAATTTTGTAAATATAGGAGTGTTTGTGGTAAATGGAAAAAGAAAGAAAGAAAAAAGAAACTAGGACATAATGTTTATAATACACCACAGTAGAAACAAATAACAAAATTGGCTAATAAATATTCAAATCTTGAAGAATTTTATGACAGTATACTGTATGTGGCATGATATAAAATATCTGAATTTCTGCAATTCTTTATTTTACTGAAATGGGAAACATTTTTTATTCATAGAGAGAATATGAAGAATTCAAGGTAAGAATCAATGCACTTGTTGCCAAAGCCCAAAAGATGCCTGAAGAAGGTTGGACAATGCAAGATGGAACTCCTTGGCCTGGAAATAACCCCAGAGATCATCCAGGAATGATCCAGGTATTATTATTGTTATTAGTTATTTGAAATGAAAATGGCTGTCTCCCTAGTTTGTTTTCTAATTTTCTTCCACTGTTTCTGTGAGTGGTCAGGTGTTCTTAGGCCACAGTGGAGGCCTTGATACAGAAGGGAATGAGCTGCCACGGCTGGTATATGTTTCACGTGAGAAGCGTCCTGGTTTTCAACATCACAAGAAAGCTGGGGCAATGAATGCTTTGGTTTGTGAACCCTGTAACCCTTTTTTCCTTTTTGTTTGAATTGATGTTGTTAGCTTCTTGTGTGATGGCATTTCTATATGATCAGATACCTGACTTGCTAATTGGGTTCTAAGTCAAAGAGTTTCCGGTCTATTTTGTATTTTTTTTTCTGGTGAAGTCTTGTAATCTTTTTTATATTTCTTTTTTGTTTGTACTTCTTTAGATACGAGTATCAGCTGTCTTGACCAATGGTGCATATCTCTTGAACGTGGATTGTGATCACTACTTTAACAATAGCAAATGTCTTAAAGAAGCCATGTGTTTTCTGATGGATCCTCTTCTTGGGAAGAAAACCTGCTACGTGCAGTTCCCTCAGCGGTTTGATGGCATTGACTTGCATGATCGATATGCTAATCGTAATATTGTCTTTTTTGATGTAAGTTTCATTTTATGTGACATCAGTGGTGATTGTGGAATTATTTATTTCCAGGGTTGGAGTTATGGTAATTGTTAAATGCATATACTTGTTTTGGTTTATTTTTCAGATCAACTTAAAAGGGCTGGATGGAATTCAGGGCCCAGTTTATGTGGGAACTGGTTGTTGTTTCAACAGACAAGCTCTCTATGGGTATGATCCAGTTTTGACAGAGGAAGATTTGGAACCAAACATAATTGTCAAGGGTTGTTGTGGTTCGAGGAAGAAGGGTAAAAGCAGAGACAACAAATACTTAGATAAAAAGGGAGCTATGAAGAGAACGGAATCCACTGTTCCCATTTTCAATACGGAAGACATTGAAGAAGGTGTTGAAGGTTGGATTTTGTGCATGTTCTCTCTTTTTTTTAATTATGCTTTACGCTCAAAAATCATGATTTTACTTTTGAACTAATTACCTGGATTTATAAATTTTCGAGATGTAGACTTCTGTATCTAGTCAACAATTTGTTGGAACTGTAAAACTTTTATGTTTCAGTTGTTAAGCTGTTCTCTATATAATGCTATCGGTAACCGTATTTATATTCTACAGGATATGATGACGAGAAGTCACTTCTCATGTCTCAGAAGAGTTTAGAAAAGCGATTTGGTCAATCTCCCGTATTTATTGCTGCGACCTTTATGGAGCAGGGTGGCATTCCTCCGTCAACCAATCCAGCAACTCTTTTAAAAGAAGCCATTCATGTTATTAGCTGTGGGTACGAGGATAAGACTGAATGGGGCAAAGAGGTAGTTTGGCAGTAGGATAGACTTTTGGCATATGAACTTGGTGTCTGTTACTAATGAACGTTGAAACTAATAAAACTTATTTCCCTTATTTCCTCTCTGACAGATTGGATGGATCTATGGCTCTGTGACTGAAGATATTCTGACTGGTTTTAAAATGCACGCACGAGGGTGGATTTCAATCTATTGCATGCCTCCCCGACCTGCATTTAAGGGGTCTGCTCCCATTAATCTTTCTGATCGTTTAAACCAGGTGCTTCGTTGGGCTCTGGGATCTATTGAGATTCTTCTGAGTAGGCATTGCCCCATATGGTACGGCTACAATGGGAGACTCAAACTTTTGGAAAGGCTGGCATACATTAATACCATTGTTTATCCTCTCACTTCCATCCCTCTGCTTGCTTACTGTGTACTTCCTGCCATTTGTCTTCTCACTGGAAAATTCATCATTCCCGAGGTAGTGAAAATTCTGCTTTTTGCTTTTCTCTGGGGTCAACATACATTTTTTTTGAGTCTTTTCTTTGTGCAAAGAGACCGGTTAGCGGGGACGTTTGGGAACTGGGAAATTGCTGACACTAGCTCTTTGGTTTATATTTACCTCAAAAAAAGAAGAAAAAACTCTCTGTTTTTTTAATTATTTTATATTTGACTTCTGTTCTTATTTTTTGGCAGATAAGCAATTATGCTAGTATGTGGTTCATTCTTCTCTTCGTGTCCATTTTTGCCACCGGAATTTTGGAGCTTCGCTGGAGCGGCGTGAGCATTGAGGACTGGTGGAGAAACGAGCAGTTCTGGGTCATTGGGGGTACATCGGCCCATCTCTTTGCTGTCTTCCAAGGTCTTCTCAAGGTTCTGGCTGGAATCGACACCAACTTCACTGTTACCTCCAAAGCATCAGATGATGACGGTGAATTCGCCGAGCTGTACGTGTTCAAATGGACTTCTCTGCTTATCCCTCCGACCACCGTCCTTGTTGTGAACTTGGTAGGCATAGTGGCCGGCGTTTCCTACGCCATAAACAGCGGCTACCAATCGTGGGGACCTCTGTTTGGGAAACTCTTCTTCTCCCTTTGGGTCATTGTTCACTTGTATCCCTTCCTCAAGGGTTTGTTGGGTCGGCAAAATCGTACACCGACAATTGTCATCGTCTGGTCTATCCTTCTCGCCTCCATATTCTCCTTGCTCTGGGTGCGGATCGATCCCTTCACATCCGATGCCACGAAGACTGCTTCAAAGGGTCAATGCGGGATTAATTGTTAACGTTTTGAATATCATTTTGATTGGGTAAGTTGTTGTACGTCATACTCTCTTGTATCTATACCATGTATAAAAACATGATATTTGAATTATTTATTTTATCCTCTGGGCATTTTACCTTTTTATCCTTGTGATATATTTATTAATTTTTTTTGTAAGGGCTCGTTTATTTTTAGTAAAATTTATTATTAGACTTCCTGGATATATTTTTAATTCCTATATTTGGTATAAAAAATATTATTATTAGTTTTTAGTTCCAGTAGTTTTGAAGATCATTTTGATTGTATCTGGTCCTCTGTCCTACTTGCCCTTTCATGAACGTGTGCACTGGTAGAGATGGTTATGATTTTTAAAATCGTACTTAACTGCGCCATATTGAATTATATGAAAAATTAAGAATTTTTAAAAAAAATTTATAAATTTTGGTATTAAGTAATAGTGTACTTATTCAAAATTGATAAAAAATTGTATCAAATCGAATATTACGTATAATGATTTATTAAATTATTTATATCATATACATAATAATTAAATTCTAAATATTAATTATAATTTAATAATAAATTAAAGAAATTAAAATATTAAAAATTTATATAAAAAAGAAATATAAATATTATAAATTAAAGTGTAAAAATGTTTTTAATATATATTTTATATTTTTATAACTAATTTATTAATTAATATATTTATTAGAGAAGAAGATCATTTTTTTATTTTTTTTATTATCAAATTTATGTTATAATATAGTGTATCACTTACTAATTTATTACCTAATTTAAATTTTATAAATTATCCAACACATGATAAGCTCTAACTTTAAAAATAAAAAAGAAAACTTCTTAAATACACTTATTCATTGTAAATAAATAAAAAAATTTCACTTAATATATCTAAAAAGTAGTTTTAGAAAAAAATTATATGTAAAGAAATTTGAACTAAGTATTGGATTTTTTTTCATCGAAAACTTTAAGTTAAAAAAATTATCATTGTCAAATAAATATAAATAATGGAGAACTAAATTTCAATTTTTAAAATAGAAATTGTTAAATTTTATATTTTAACTATCAATAAAATTAAGTGTAAAATAATGAATATATATTTTAAAAAATAAAATTAAAGTTTAAACTATACCATACTAATATATTATGCTTAATAATTTATTAAATTATTTATATTATACATAAAATTATTAAATTTCTAAATAATTGAATTATAAGTTATTAATTAAAGTATTCATATTATATGTAAGTTAATTAAATCATTTAATAATGGTAGGTTTTTAATTAAATTAATTAAAAGTTTCATATTAAATTATATTAAACAAAATTAAATTTTTCATTATTTTCATATGATTTTTAATTTGTTTCTAATATATTGTGAGATCGAGAATATAAGGTTATAAATGGTTATTAATGAAAATTTTAAAATTAAATCCTTTAATGTAAGAAATTATTAGCAGTGTATAATCTTGAAATAATTTGATTTTTACATATTGGTTATATACTAAAACAATCTTTTTTGTGTTATTTTGTAAAATTTTTATTAATTTACTTAATATTTAAATATAATTAAAAAACTGTAAAAATCGTACCTAATCGTTCTAAAACTGAATAATGATACCAATATTAAAAAATATGATTTTAGTTTTAACATTAAAAAATTAAAATAATTGATATAATATAATTTTATAAAAAAAATTCAAAAAAATCAAACTGTGAACACCCAAATGCGTGGGCATGTTACCTTTTTATTATCTATTGCAATTTATTGACTATTTTACAGTTTGGATGTGTTGGGAGTGTCTTCTTTTGGAGCATTATCCTCTTATGGCACAAATCTCTCTTCTTTCTGTACCAGTTGAGAACCAAATGTAGATTTTCTGTACTTTTTGAGGCATGCCTTTGATTGGTACTAAGACTATTAACGGATTGGATTTTGATCCATATCTGATTTAAATTTTAAATTCTTTAACTAATTAAAATATTCGATAGATTAAATCTGATTATAAATATTCGTAATACGAAATAAGTAGAATGGATACAGAATTAAGTAATCTGATCCGTTAAAAATTCGAATCTAAATATTTTAATATTATTTTGTATTTAATTAATAATCATATATATGTATTAATAAATACTTTTACATATACTATAATATATATAATATTATAATTAATAATGCACTAATTTTATTTGTGAGACATTTTATTTAATAGAATAATATATATTTTTTCTAAACTATTCTATAATATTTTTCTACTTTCCCTAATTTTAGTTTTTCTAGTAGGTATTATATTTAATAATTAATTATTTTTGAAATTTCATGAAATACTTGAATAAATTAATTACAAAATTTTTTAAATTCTAACTATAATACAAATAAAACTTGATAATTTTATAAAATACTAGAATCCTATCATAACTTTTGTAATATATTATATAACAAAAATTTTTCTTAATCATTCATAAATAACAATTTATTTTTGAATTTTATTTATATTTTAATAAAATCAAATTAATAAAAAATAAATTTTACATGAATTTTTATCATTCATAAATAACAATTTATTTGATTTTGCATGTCTTTTATTTATTGGTTATTTAATTTTAATTATTATTAACTGTTATGTGACACCCCTGAGAGGGAGTTCTTGTTGAGTCCCAAAGGGAGGTGTATGTGACATCTCAAAGGGGGGGAGTGTGTGTGACATCCTAAGCAAATCCCACATCGACAAAACATGGGAGAGATGCTGGGTATATAAGAGACTAGAAGCTACTACTGAACAATTTGGGCTTAAGCATTTTGAGTCAGTGGTTCAGGCTCAACAAGTTACTAGGGCCAGTAGTCTCAGGTCGTTACAAATAGTATCAGAGTCATTCTGCATGCAACCTTGAACGATAGTAGGGCAAATCTCAGCGAGAACGCTGAGTCCCAAAGGAGGGGTGTCAACCATTCTACGTGCAACCTTAAATGATAGTAGGGCGAACCTCAATGAGAATGCTGAGTCCCAAATGAGGGGTGTATGTAATACCCCTAAGAGAGAGTGCTCGCTGAGTTCCAAAGAGAGTGGTGTATGTGACATCCTAAAGGGGGAGTGTGTATGACACCTTTAGGCAAATCTCACATTGACAAAACATGGGAGAGATGCTGGGTATATAAGAGACTAGAGACTACTACTGAACAACTTGCCATTAAGTATTTTGGGTTAATAGTTCAGGCTCAACAAGTTGCTAGGGTTAGTAGTCTCGGGTCATTGCATGTTATTCAGATCGGATTTTTTATTTAGATTTCGAATTTTTATCAAATTCGAATATGGTAATAATAAGTAGAAATTCCATAAGATTTCGGGTTAAATTCGGATATATACATTGATAATCGGATTTGAATTCAGATTATCTTAATTTGATCCAAATCTGACCCGTTTGCATACGTAACTAGTACTCAAAAATAGAGTTGCATATTGGTAGAATTAAATTAAGTTTGGAGGTGAGTGAAAAACAGGTTGTGACACCAAGATGGACTATTTGAGTTAGGAAATATAAAAAAAAATTATATTGAAAAACCTTGAGTTAGGAAAATTAATAACTAAAAATATTTAATTAAGTTAAAAAATAATTCTTTAATTGTATCAATTGATGTTTTCAAAATGAAAGCAGTAATTAATTGTTGTTTCACTCCTAAATCTAGACCCAAGTAGATAATACCATGTCTCATTTGAGAAAAACCCCCCTCCACCAAGTTTAACTTAAGTTCATTTTAATCCCATGTTTAAAAACATACTATCGTCTCTTATAATTAATTTAACTTTCATGTTAATCCCTCAAATTACTTATATATGAACACTTCTCACTCGAAAATGTCCACGTGCACCTCACATGTGTACTTTTGTAAAGGTATATTGGTAAAAAAAAAATGGGCAGACCATCGGATCTGTGCTATCGCCAACAGCCCTTATAGCAGCGGCATCACCGGTAGTCGTCACTGTAGCATAATCCTTTTCCTGCGTTCTGCTTTCTATTCTGTATCTCTATTTATTTATTTTTTTAAAGAAGAAGAAGTGAAAAACAAAAGCAGAATTGGGTCAAGATGAGCACCACGTTCAGTCTACAGATTTGCAGAACAGGAGCAAGATGATTGGCAATGGTTGCAATTACTTTGGTTACATAGTTTGATTAATTCAAAAATCTATTCAGGAATTCCAATGAATTCGAGAGAAGTAAAACAATCAATTACGAAAGCATTAAAAGAATATGTGAATAAGATAAGAGAATTTTTTTTATGTATTTTATTCATAATCTCATTTGAACAACTAACTTTATTTTTGTATCGGAATAGCAGGGTTTACAAGGGAAAGAAAATTAAAAACATTACGATTTCTTATTATGTTGTTATGCTAACTTCCCTAATACCCTTCTACCAACTTAACAAACATTTTAACTCTTCTTAACGTTTAAAATTGTCATCTCTTCTTAGCGACTATAACCATCAACAATCTCTCAATAAATACAATCATCTATAAGATTACAATAAATTCAAAGTTACATTTCATTTTTATTTTTCCTTTGTCCTTGAAAAGTTCCATGTTTCAAATGAAATAATAAGAAGCTTCATCTCACAAACCCTTTCTCGATATAGCTTGGAACTGTTGCCATTATATATAAAACATTTTACACCATTTGTTTTGCATTTAGTGGGGGTTTTTATTCTTTCAATCAACATTAAAATTTTCATTCTAATTCATGCTCATCGCATCTCATTTAGTAATTTCTACGTTATCTTCCTGTGAAGGTCATTTCACAGTAAAAAGTGATATATATTGAAAAATTACTTTTACATTGTCTTCTTATGAAAGTTCTCTCGCAGCAAAAAGTGAAAATCATTTTTACATCAGCAAAAAATCATATATATTGAAAAAAGGAAGATTGATATGGATAAGGAATAAGTGAATATCACTCCCTAACAACTTTAGAAAATTACTTGTATTTGTGCTTTTGAAAAGATGGAAAGCCATGTTTCGACAGGCAGGACTTAAACCTCTCTCTCTCTCTCTCTCTCTCTCTATACTGCAACTTCATGGTACCTCACAGTTAGAAAGGTCAAAATGGCAAAGGAAATAGGCAAGAGCCCTTCTGAGAGTTGTTCTCCTAGAAATGTTAACAAGAAGGCGAGTAATAAAGAATAGTCGTCTATACAGGGAACATAACCTTTTGAATGGGCTAAACCTCAATTATCTAGCAAACATCACATTCTTCGTGTCATGGATGCCTGTATCGAATTCCAATTTATATTGCTATAATAACTTGTAGCTGACTGAAGATTGGGTGATGCACTTGGGTGACTGAGGCACGCCTCATGCCCAGGTGAGCCATGGGCACCCTCAACAAGCGCCTTGGAGCCTTGCGCCCTGCGTCTAAGACGTCGACTGGCCAAATATAGTGATTGGTGTCCGCAAGTGTTGTCGAAGTTACTCAGTTACCCCAATAGTCGTTGATGATTGTTGTATCTTTTATTTTTCAATTTTGTTTAGAACACAAATAGAAAACATAAAAAATAAAATGGTTCTCTTGCAGTAGCAATTGCTAGCAGTAGCGTTGCTATGATTGATACTTGTGGCAGCGCGATTCCGGCGATGGTTTGTGCATTCTTTTTAATTTTTAAATATGACCTTACAAAAATTTACGCGTGTACGTGAGCACTTTTTGAGGAGAAACGAGAAGTGTTTGAAAAGAGATTTAAAGGATTAATGTGGAACTTAAATCAAACACGAGGGACGAAGGTGACAGCCTTTAAATACAAAAAATTAAGGTAAAAGTTAAATTCAACTTGGAAAATGATTTACCTCTGTCATTTTATATATCTGTTGATGCATGATTTGAAGACTTAAGTTAAAAGTTATAAAATACAATAAAGGCCCGCAAACAATATTTCAATATTGTATTTTTGAAATATTTTAAAATTTAAGATTTTTGTAAGTATAGTATATTCATTAATTTTATTATGACAGTATACATTTAACTAGACTAGAAGGTGGAAAATTTGAATGGGGTACAGCAAAGTGGAAGTTTTATAGTACTCACAAAATATGATTAAAAAAAGTCATCTATAACGCTAGAAAATTTTTAATATGTTTAAAAATGTCACGATTTGAAAGTTGGATTAGTGATTAGCGTTAGGGTTAGGATAGTCTCAACCCTGCAAGCCTTTTATACTCAGAAGTATAGCATAAAAAAATAATAAAAACATAACATAACTTCTCACATCAATACATATGGTAAGCAACCGAATCAAGTTTGTGATCAGTAGAGCTATTAAATCAAAAGAGACAGCATTAAATCAAAATAGAATTGGAATTGACAACTAAGATCACAAGGCAAGATCCAGAATACGCCTATCAAATAGTTGAATCTGTCGGGTGAGTCGAACTTAAGTTTGAAAAAATAAAATGATGAGTCTAATGATCCAGTAAATAGTAACATGTATTTACATAAACAAAAAACATATATCAAATAGTTCTCATCATAAAGCAAATTTTTCAACTCATACAAGTTTAGGGAGTTTGTAATAGAGAATTGAACAGAAAATAGAACGACAATCTCATAATCTGTCGATACACATATAATAGAACAACGACTTCTTAGTCTGTCAGAAATTAATAAATAGGCCTACCACATCAGCTCCACGTGTTAATTTAGCACCACCCCCACTAGTTAGGGATACAGGCTAAGGTGCATCTAGTCTAACGCCTAATGTTGTTAGTTACAGTATTCTAACCATTCAAATTTCCCTTAGAACATTTTTCTCAAGTTTGAGATAAACAGTTTACAAGTATTTATTTGTTCATGCATAGTAGAAATCAATTTTTCTTATGAATATCCTCAAACAAATCACAAAATGACATAACAATAATAGAATCACTTGGTTTAAAAAATTTCCAAACAAATCCAATAATAAAATATAAGTCTATTGTGAGCTTTTATAATATATAAAATTTCAATTTTGAAATAACTGAATTTATAGAACAATTCATGCAAAAACTCAACATTTAGTAGATATGAAAAATAACGAATCATATAAATATGTATTACTACTTACAGAACTAAAGAATCATGAATTCCAAGTATCGTCGATATGGCTCAACAAGAGTCGAACAGTCAATCTAAAAATAACAAAATCCTTATGTTAGGAACTAATATAACTTATAATTAATTTAAAATTAAATTCCCCTCCCATACTCTATTATAACCTTAGGTTTTCGTGTTTAACCCATATCAAAAAATTTTTAAAGTTCCGAATCAATCAAATAAATCACATCTCATGTACTAAAGTCTTGAACTAACTCATAAAACATAAAACCGGTCCGGTCTAATTATCTTTTAAACCAACCATGAAAGTACTATACCGGTCTTGAACTGGTCACTAAAAAATTGAACTGACCATGAATCTGTCATAACATCACTGAACCGGACCTTAAACCCACTGAAGTAGCTATGAAATCCATTGAACCGGTCTTAATTCCACTGAACTAGCTATGAAACCTACTGAACCGGCCTTAATTCTACTGAACCGATCATGAAATCCATTGAACCAACCTTAAAACCTATCGAACTAGCCTTAAACCCACTGAATCGGCCATAAAACCCTATAAATTAGACTTAAATCCACTGAATGGGCCATGACACACACTGAACCGACCATAAAACCCATTGAACCGACCTTTAATCCATTAAATCAGTCCTGAAATATAATAAATCAACCATAAAATCTCATGAGCTAGACTTAAATCCACTGAACTGGCCTTAAATCTACTGAATCGACCAGGAAACACATTGTACTAGCCACTATAAACCTTAATCCATTATTTTTCTCACTAAACCGACCGATTTTACTTGAACCGACAGTTAACTAGTTAGCTTATTTATTAATTATCTTATTATGCCCTGAATCGGAGATGAATTGGTTATTAACCCCTTGAACCTGCCAGTCTACTAATTTCTGGTTTTATAATTTTTTTTTATTTTTTACTGTTTTGATTCACATCCCAAATTTGAATCTTGCACACACTTGGAACTCGAAACCCAGATTGCTTAGATCCAACCCACTTGGCCCATTGGCCGTGGCCCAGCAATTAGGGCCTAACCCAACTTGGCCCACAGCCCAACTAAGACTATGCCCAAACCTTGATTCCAACCTAAACCCAACCCGAAACCCAGTCGAGTTTCATCTTCTCGACCCAAATTCTGCTGAAACACATCAACTGAAAAATTTGAAATTTACCTCAAATTTTGGCAAATTGATCCCTTTGGCTTGCTCAGAATGATCAACTGAATGTCACCAAAGGATTAATTCAACTTTTGATCAGCTTAAATTGAAGAATTTAAGCTTGGAAGGCTCAATAATGGTGGATGGGTTGTTGACTCCAAAACGATGAAATTGAACAGCTTAAAAGCCAGTTTTCTGCAAATTAGATAAGAGCTTTTGCTCGTCTTAGTCAGTTGCACAAGTGTATATAATAATTTTACAAGAAAACGTTTAATTTAATTGAAATTTTAATGGTAATCAATTGCGGAAACTGAATGTTTCGATGATTTCTTGAAAAATTTTATGATTTTTCAATTGGCTCCTTGAACTATTGCTTTCATGCGATCTAGTCCCTTGCTACTGTTGATATATTTTGTTCAGATCCCTCAAACTTTTATTTCATTCAATTTTGACCCTTAATTTTTATTGAGCTCCCCAATTTCTCGATTCGTTCAATTTGACCATTAATTATAAATTTATTTAATAACCCCAAAATTTGGGGTTTTACAAAAAATATTGTAGAAGGTTTTAGATTAAATTTAGAAAATTTTAACCTTCTAAAACTTCTAAATATTATAATAGAATTTTATATGAATTCATCATTAATTGTTCATTCAAATAAATCATTGAAAATGGTAAATAATTATATAAAAAATTCTATAGTTATTTACATATTTTGCGAATATGTAATTATCTTGAATATATTAAGAATTTATTTATTTTTGAATCGACTGCAAGGGACAAATAAAGATTTTATTCTTTCTTCAACAATTTTAATCTCTAATGAAATTTCAATAAAATTCGAATTAAGATGAGGTTCTAATTATCTGTTAAAAAAAACGAATAATTAACTTGAAAGTAAAGTTGAGTAAACAATGGGACATGGACTGCTTTTTTTCCAGAGCTTTCCATAATAATTAACCTAGGAGAACTTGGTTATTTGAATGAAATGCATGCAAGGCAGGCGGGCGGGCTTCGACCCAATTGAAAGATAAATAAATAAAATGGGCCAAGCCCAATACTTGACCCGAATTGTGTGAAATGGGGGCCCGAGTAGCTGCAAGCCCAAACACAACCTTTCGTTTGTTTCCATCCGTGAAACCCCTAACATTCAACCGCAAGGTTTTCGCTGAATTAGGGGTTTAGCCTGGGCGCACCACCGGAGGGAGAGCGAGAAGATGTGGAGGTCAATGCTAGCTAGCAGAGCTAGAGCTTGTCTCAGCATTCGTTCAGGTACTCCACTGTTTCAATCCATTCAAAATCATACCCCGCAGTTAACATCCTATCGACCTCAGTCCTTCGGATGTTCATTCCCCCTCTGCCAAAACCCTAGTTTTTTTTCTCACGATTCAGCTGATAGTGTTCGCATTGATGATGTGGCTGGATCTTGCATTGACTCCCCAATTTCTCAAATTAATAATGAAGCCATTGAGGCTTTGGATGGAAACCAGTCTCCTTCAGGTACATCACAACTTGATGATGAACCTTCTTCAGAATTCGCTTCTGAGGGGACTTCCATTGATGCCTCAATGATGGAGGGTTTTCCCTCCGGTGATGATAACTATCTTGAAGAAGACCAAATGCGTCAGGTCGACTTTGAGCAGTTACAGAGTGTTTTGTCTCTGCTTCAGAGTAGTACTCCCGCAGATGTGTCTCTGGAACCGAGCCTTGACGACATGGATCTTACTTTAAATGAAGAGTTTGTGGTAAGGGTTCTTGAAACACCACTTGTTCCTGGTGACAATTTAATTGGCTTTTTCAGATGGGCCTCAAATAAGCAGGATTTTTCTGCAACAACGCGGAGTGTGGAGGCTCTTGCTAGGGCAGTTTCTAGTGGTCTCAAGATTAAAGAAGCATACGCATTTTGGAATTTGATCCAGGAGATTGGACAGGAGAATGGTATTCTGAACACGGCGATTCTCAATGAGTTGATATCTTTATTATCCAAGTTGGGTAAAGGTAAAGCTGCATTTGAAGTTTTTAACAAGTTCGAGGAATTCGGATGCGTGGCGGATTCTGAAACCTATTATTTTACGATTGAAGCCCTCTGTAGGCGTTCAATCTTTGACTGGGCATGGTCTGTTTGTGAGAAGATGATTGATAGTGGAAAATTGCCTGGCAGGGAACAAGTTGGGAAGGTTATATCTTATTTGTGCAAAGGTGGCAAGGCTAAGGATTCTTATTTGGTTTATTTGTCTGCAAAGGAGAAAGGACAATACCCACCTCGATCTTCTGTTAATTATTTAATTAGCTCCCTAAGTCGAAATGAAAATGTTCATGTAGCTTTGGAGATGTTGAAAGACTTCTCTGAAGAAGACAAAAAGTATGCAATTAATCCATTTTCTTCTGTTATTCGCGGGTTGTGTAGAATCAGAGATGTTCAAGGAGCAAAGAGTTTGCTGTATAAGATGGTAGATGCAGGTCCACCTCCTGGAAATGCTGTCTTCAATTTTGTCATCAACAGTCTCTCCAAGGCTGGAGACTTGGATGAGGCTAGGCAACTTATGAAGCTGATGGAGATTAGGGGTCTGAAACCAGATGTATACACTTACAGCGTCATTATCAGTGGCTATGTTAAGGGGGGAGACATGCAAGAAGCTTGCAAAGTTCTGGATGAAGCCAAAAGTAAGCACTCTAAGTTGAGTCCTGTTACTTATCACACACTTATTCGTGGATATTGCAAGCTTGAAGAATTTGACAAGGCACTGAAGTTATTGGGTGAGATGAGGGAGCATGGGGTTGATCCCAATGCTGACGAGTACAATAAGCTTATCCAATCTCTTTGCCTGAAGGCTGTAGATTGGAAAACCGCGGAGAAATTGCATAGGGAGATGGAAGAAAATGGCTTGCATCTTAATGGATAACAAAGGCTCTTATAAGGGCGGTTAAGGAGATGGAACAAGCAGAAGCTGGGACTGGAGAAGTAACAGTTGGAGCATAATTGATTATTAGCTCATCAAGGTGAAGAAACTATGAAAAATCAAATAGAAGTTCTCATAAAAGCGGTTAATGATATGACAGAAGCATGAGATTGGAGTGCAGAATAACAGTTGGAGCAAGTTTCTTAATAGGCAACCTGTGAACGTGATGTGAAAGCTTAAAACTCCACCGTCTGGGCTGCTGTTTCTTTTACCTCCTCCTTTCACTTCTTGTTCTTCTTTATATTTAATCATTTTTTTTGTCTTTTTGCTATTATTGTTCATGAGGTAGATGAAAAAGGAATACATTGTAGGTACTATCTAAAACCCTGCGTTGTACTCGCATCCAATGTCGTCAAGAAGAAAAAGGACAAATTGGTATTTGAACCTCCTCTGTTGTTTTTCTGGTTCTTGAGTACTGAGTGTTTTAAACACTAGTGGAATGAGAATGAGCCTAGGGGGTTTGGTCTTGCCGGCAATTTAATTGTACATCCAACCTTGTCTTTTACCCATGGGAGTAGCACGAAAAGGCAACAACCTAACAATAGTGGGATGACTTGGTGGATCTTAGTTACCATGCCGGTGCAGCAGCCTGTCTAAGGACTTTACAACATGATTTTAGAGGTGTAATTGTATTTCTCTGTTGCTTTCGATTGTTATGTTGTCCCAGTGAAATCTGTGGGAGTTGGACTTGGACATAATCTTCCGTTACTTTTAGGGGGAATGCATTCGCTGCACATATTTAGATTTACTGTCAAATTTTTATTAGATGACTTGGATTTTCTCGTTAAAACTGTTTCTTGAATGATAGAATTTACTACTTTGTCACTGTATATATAGAAAGCAACGAGTATTTGCTATGTAATAATATTTTATTCTAATGTTTCTGCAACAACCACCTAATCAAAAGTCATCAAATAGTTATATTGAAAATGTATTATCTATTTCTTGTCTCTCACCTCTCTCAAATTTCTGTCCTCGTGCAGCTATGGCGATATAGAGGCAAACTCCCTTCTTCCCTTGCTCTCCTCGTTATGTTGTCAGTGGAAGTGTTTCTTAGAGTGTTTGGATGAGGGGCTGTGGTGGCTGTGGACGACCCTATTCCTCTCTCCTTCACTATAACTCCGTGTTCCCTTTATTTGGCCATGCAATAACTACAAGAAATCAACTATAGGTGAATTACAACCGTCGAGAAACTTGAGTTATCGCCTTCACCACGCACTCTGGAATTTGAACTCTTCAGTGGTGTAGTTTGCCCAAAGATCATCACTCCCAATCATGGAAACTGCCACAGAATAATAATAGTGAAAATGCTTTTACTGACAATTAAAGATTTAAAAGGTCTACTTCCAAATCGATTCATCAAGCCATGGCAAAACCCAGATTACCATGTGCCATGTTTAGGGTTAGTACTTTGATTTGGAATCAAATTTTTAAAAAATTTATTTACTTGATTCACTATTCAAGTAGCATAACTAGAATTATTAGCTCTAAAATTTTAAATTTTAGAATCAATTTTAATAGGTGCAACTTTATTTTATTAATTACTAGCATCACCCAACAACTTGCCAGCCAACGATCATGTGCTACTGCTAATGTCATCTAGCCTACTAGCCATCATTACCGGCTCCGCCTAGTGGTGGTGTGCTGGTCTAGCTGGCCATCGACTACCACCTCAAAAGTGGCTTGCAGGCTTGATACTGGAAGTCGTTGACAAGAGTCACTGGTGATTGATGTCCGCACCAGTAGTAACCGGCTGGTAACAAAATGCCGAAAAGTGGCTTGTTAGCAAACCTATTACTTGTATCAAATCGGAAATTCAAATAATTTTTATAAAACAAGTATTACAGTCCAAACAATTTTTTTTAAATATCATATAATTCAAAAAATTTAATTTAAAATATGATTATAAAATTTAACTCACAAACAACTTCTCATTGTCAACATTCAAACGAGAAGAGGTCCAAAAACATTAATCCACGTACACAAAGTGAAAGAGAGAACAAAATTATTTTAGAAAAACACATTGGCTTGTGCAACAGCAATGGGAGAGAAGGAAAAATAGAGAATATACTAAATTGATGAACAGAATTTTGTTAATCAAAGAGGCTGCTATTTTTGGCAGGAAGGGATAGGATGTCTGATAATCCTCCTGGCCAATTTCTAGCTCTGGTTCTGGCAGATAGAAGTTTTTGTGTGGCTGCAGGCCAGCCTGTGATGAACTATATGTATAATTGCTAGCATTTAATCCCTCACTCGAAAATGCTTTAATAATAATCTCTTAAGAATTGCACAAAGAAGTTATTTATGAACCACATCTTCGAAATTAGTTTGAGTAATTAGTAAAATCACAACCAAAACCCTTTTTCAACTAGATTCTCGAAAATATTCAAAACACTAATTTTGTGAAAGTGTAAATAAAATTGTGCTCGAAACTTATTTCCGAATTTTATCTTCTAAAATTCTGACCATTAATTTTTGTGAGATCTGCACCAAAAACTCATTTTTGAACCATGTTCTTTAAAATATTCTAAAAAGTGCGAAGCTTGACTAAAATTTTTGAGGGGCAAACTATATATGTCTAAGATTTTTTTTTAAAAAAAAAAACAAATGTGTGTGTGTGTGAGAGAGAGAGAAAGAGATTCAAATAATTTATTAATACAAAAATATCTATTTAAAATGATGCTCTTCATCCTTTTAGAAACTGAAGTTATCAATAATTTCTTCTTAGCCATTTCTTTTTATATGAACCACCATATTGTCTGCAAAAAAATTTTCTATTCATTTGCACAATCTAGTCTTGATTATTTTCATTATTGAAAAAGATCATTCTTTTGTGGCCATCCAAACTAGAAGAGTAAAAGTGATGTGAATTAACTGATCAATCAAGTAAAATGTGTTTAACTTTCTTGTTTTATCCAAGACTTGACATTAGGAGTATCAAAAATGAAATGTAAATATTGAACTTGAAATCTTGTACCGATATTATTTTGCTTACTAAAATTCATATGACAGAATTTGTTCACAATAATGCATATATTATTAATGTCATGGCCCAAAAATTTGAATTTGTAACTAGCACTAGAATCAAAATGTCTCTTGTTATACTTTTACAATGAAATTTAATTCAATATTTAGAAATCAAGTATATCATGTAAAATTAAAATTTATAATAAATATGAAAAACAGTAAATAATTATAAATGCACATTATTACTTATATAACATGTTAGAATCAAACGGTTTGATCTTTAATAGTACAAGCTTAACGAAGAACTTTTGAGGAATCTAAAACTACAAAGTAATAACATTTCAAAATTAGAATTTTGAAATGTTTAAGAGTTTAATTTATTCTAGAAATTCTTAGTCAAACCCGTTTGGTTGAGATAATCCAAATCCAAAACTAGGTTTAGATCTCAAAGTCTAAAATCCAAAGCCAGATTTAATATTTATATATTTATTTATATACTTTTCTTAAAGAACAATTCAGTTTCATATTTGAATCCCAAAATTCAAAATCCAAATCCAATGACTCAATCTAAATCTAGAAACTCAAATTTAACTCATTAGTTCCAAAATTAGAATGCTAATAAAAGTCCAATTTCAATATATTATATTGTTGTTGTTGCTGTTATTCTTGTTATTATTATTATTACTTTTTTTTAATGGTCCAAGTCCCTATTTCAAATTCAATCCAAATCTATTGATTCAGATCCACTATTTAAATCTATATACAAAATTCAAATCTAAAACCAAATTCAGATCCCGAGATTCAAATCCAAAACCTAATTCACATCCAGATTCAAAATATAAGTCTTTGCACAAAATGTGATCCAAAACTCAAATCTAAATCTAGATTCATATTTATTACTCAATCATTTGGATTCAATATCACAATCCCATGACAAATCTAAAACCCATATTCTTAATAATAATTCTAGTTCCATTAGATTTGGACCCATAATCCCAAAACCATCTTAAAACCCTTAAGCCCAACTTAGAATCATCATCTAAATCAAGATCTAAATTTATATCTAATATGGGGTCTATAACACAGTCCAATACCCAACTCATTTTTACATAATTATAATTGAATATAAAATCCAAACCCAAACCTGATTTGTACCTAATTAACTGAGTTGTCTTCCTACTTCCTTTGTCGAGTAAATCCTGCACTAAGGCAAGCTTTCAAGTTTTTAACGATGGCTTCCAATACTCAAGAAAGACAAGATAAATACTTTAATTTCGTCAATTGAACAAAAACAAAATTAGAAATGATGGTGATACTTCCAATGGTGACGGAGAAGGTGAATAAAAATTGGTAACTATGTCTTGACAATATCTCCCAAAATTAGAGGCCACTAGGTTAAATTAAGCAAAAAATCCCATCTTAGTAGCTTATATTGATGTGATTGTGTGTTTAATTTGAGATCAAATTGTGTAAATCTGGAGAATTTAATAGGAGTACAATTAGGGTTTCAATTAAGGAAATAGAGATAATGATCAAATCTTGATTATTGTGTGCATAATTTGAGATCAAACCGTGTAAATTTAGAGGATTTGATAGAATTATAATTAAAGTTTTGAATGAGGAAACATGAATGATAATCAAATCCAAATTTTGGAATTTCTAATTCGGTCCCTCAATTTCTAATTACATGGAATTTAGTCTTTGATTATTTCTAATTCATTCCATTTGGATTTATAAAGTTTAAATTAAATCAATTGAGTTCTCTAATCTTTTAATTAAATCCCTGAATTTTCTGTTCCTATTAACTAAGTCCTTAAATTATCAAAATTTTACAATTGACCCCTAAATTGGGTTATTACAATTAATGTGAAAGTTTTATAATCATTATTAGGATTTAAAGTAGAGCTTTAAGTAAAGTTTGGTTGTTTACTTAGTGAACCGATTAATATTTTTCCACTTTAACAGCTATTCAATTC